AGGTCTGGGCCCTGGGGAGCTGGGGAGCCGAGGCTGGGCCCAGAGTCTCACCCTGAGAAAGGGGTCAGAGGGACTAAAGCCACAGCCCCACCTCCTGGGGTGACCTCCTATGTTCCTGTGTTTCCCTCCACTCAGCCCCCATCCTCCTTGCCCCAGGGAGGGCAACATGTCCCCCCACCTCGTGTCCCCTCCAACTGCCTTCCACCGAGCTCCTCCCTACTTAGAACCTCCCAGAGCCCCCAGGGTCCCCAGCTGTCCTGCTCTGGGTCTCCCAGAGACCTAACATCACCCCCAGGCTGCTGGGTGCTGCCCCACTCGTGCTGCCTGTTCCAGGAGTGACTGCAAAGGGGAGGGTCAGGAGGGGCTGCGCTCCCGCCCCGCAGGGGCAGAGCTGAGTGCTCTTGCAGGGACACCGAGGCCCTGGGGTGGGGTGCAGGCCCAGACTGTCCCCACCCCTGTGAGGCACCCAGCCTGGAGGAGGAGGGACGGAGACCGGAAGGGGCCGAGGGGCTTGTACTCCAGGCCTTTCCCTGCGGCCGTGGCCGCTCTCTGCTCCCTGGTCACCCCGGAACCCTGGTGCCCCACGGCTGCCCCTCAGCTCCCTGAGGGGTGACTCATCCCCTGGGCTCTCCCCAGCCTGGGTCCCTCCTCACCTGCAGTCCCTCCTGACCATCTACCCAGGAGCTCCCATGCCCCCCACTCTCTGCTGGCCCAAGCTCAACTTGGGGCCTCCCCCCAATTCACCCACCCCCGGAACCCCCCTTGCCTCCTGGGAGGCTGCTGCCCCTTTGCCCACACCACCTTCCTGGCTGGTAGCTCCCCTCCCAGCCCACTTGTGCCCCAGAGGGGACTCAGAGACTCTCCTCCCCATCTCCCCACAGCTGCCCCTCTCTGGCCATGACTGCACCGAGCACTCTGGCCACTGGCCTTCATGGCTCTGCTCTCACTATACCCTCTCCCTGGCCCATGAACCCCAGCTCATCTTTCAGACCCAAGTTCAAGGTCTCCTCCTGGGCTCTCCGGGCAATGGGGTTGGGCTGCCCAGGGCGCTATCTCCCTGGCCTGCTGACTGCCTGTGCTGTCGAGGAAAGGGGTCATCTCTCCCCATGCACAGCAGGACAGAGGCACACCCAGAAAGGTGCTGCTGGTTGAGGGATGGCCAGGAGCGTGGGCTGGACCCGCGCCAGGGCAGGCGGGTGGGGCAGGGGGGAGCGAGGTTCCCGGCAGCTCCCCTGTCCACACCCCGGGCCTGGGGCGGCAGCATGTGCCTCGTCCTTCCCCCTCCTGCCAGCTCATCTCCTCCGGCCCCCTCTTGCCTCCCCCACTGCCCACCTGCCCCTTTGGTGCTGCCTTTGTACTCCAGGCTCACCCCCACAGGGGCACCCTTGTGCCTCTCTGCAAGGACGAGTGACAGCCGGTACCCAGGCCATGCCACACCCACAGAACCTCCCACACAGCCTGGGGCAGGACCGTGCCTTGCATGAGCCGTTGGGGGCACCCTCGTGGTAGCCCAGCCACCACTGCCTTCCCCGGAACTCCCTGACGGGGCCACCAACCTCTGCCCTTGGGGGACCTGCTCTCTGGTAGTTGGGGATCCCCGGAAGCCAACGCTAAGAAGGCCTCTCCGTGGGCTCCTTCTCCCCCACGCTGTGCCTTCCCTCATGGGCTCTATGGTCACTTGGGGGACCAGTCGCTCTGCAAGTGTCCACCCCGGGGGACAGTAGGGAGTCAGGGCATGGGGGGACAGAGACCTTGGTGGTCTGCGGGGAGACCTGTGTTCCCTGCTCCTGGCGGGTGTCTGGTCCCACTCCCCAGGCCTCTTGGGCAGCTCTCACCCACTGTGCCCAGGTCCCCTGTGGCCAAGAGGGTCCCCTGCAAGCCTAAAAGAAGAATTCTCCTATGACAGGTGCCCTGCCTGGCCCCCAAGCCCAGCCCCCAAGCTCTCCCCATGACTCTGAGCCCGGCTTTGGGCACCAGAGACAGGTGGGTGCCCCAAAGCCGCCTGTAGGGGGCAGAGTCAAGCAGGGACGGAGCCCACCAGGGCAGGGGGAGGAAAGAGGCAGGACAGCTGACGGTTGGAGGGGCCAGGCCAGCTCAGACCCCATCCCCCATCCTCCGACCCTGCCCGGGGGACCACGAGGGGGTGCTGCAGAGGGAGGAGAGAGGGGGCTGGCCCCTCGAGTCGGGGCTGGAGACAGTGGACATGTCCAGCAGGGGCAGCCCCTGGGCTGGGGGTCCCCCTGACCGAGGATGGGGAGCTCTGAGCCTTCCTGGGGCCCGTTGGGGTCTGCCCACACTGCTGCCCGGGTAGAGCGAGGCCCCATGGCGGATCCCGATGCAGGACCGCACTCCACGGCCCCGGGGCTGAACCGATGGCCGCGGGGGAGCCAGAACAGGCACAGGAAACAGCCTAATTGCATTCGCGAAGGAACACCAAATCCCTCACAGCTGCGCTCGGGCGAGCCAGGGGCCGCCGGGCGGGGAGGGGGGGTGGCCATCGCCGGCATCCTGACAGCTCCGAGGAGCCTGCCAAGGGGTCTGGGCTGCTGGCCGGGGAAGGGGGGCGCCTTTCCCAGGCCAGAGGCCCCCACCCCACCCCAGGAGAGCCGCCCCCTCTCAGTTCCCAGAACGGAGCCCAGCTGCGGAACAGCGAGGGGTGAGCTCACAGGAGGGGCCAGGAGGGGCTGCATGACTCACATCCTGGGGCTGGTGGGAGGGAGGAGCGGGGAGGGCTCCCTGTCCTCAGGTCGCTCGGTCTCCCAGCACGGGGCATTGGGGAGACAGCAGAAGACCCCTGCCCCACACCCCTTCTCTGCTCCCCACAAGGTCCTGCCTGTGGGAGCTTGGGGACCACGTGCCAATGGCAGGTCATGAAGGGTGACCCTCGGAGGGGCCACCTCCCCGGGGATGCTGCTCTCGGTCTCCCTCCTGGGCCACTGTCAAGGCGCCGGCAGGGGTGCTGGGCAGGGGGGACTGGGCCTGCCCATTCGCCCCTCACTTTGTTCCCACTTCCGCGTCTGCGTGTGCAGAGGGACGCCCGCCTGTGTGCTGGGGGTATTTGGGGCCACGTACAGAGGGCGGGCGTGGGTGCCGACGTGGGCCTGAGTGGAGCTAGAGCCCACAGAGGGACTGTGTGTGTGTGCGTGCGTGTGTGTGCACGTGTGTGTCTGTGTGTGCAAGGGAGGCCCAGCCAGGCACTGCGTGTCCGTGCATGGGGCTCTGCTGAGTGTGGGCCCACACAGGGCTCTCGTGGCCGGGACCCATCACCGTAGGGGTGGACCCCGGGGGCTCAGCCCCTGTCTGTGTCGGAAGTGAGGGGACACATTGTGGGTTTTGCACTCAGATCTAGTGGGAGGGTCTGGGGAGCAGGAGCGATGGCCATGTTGGGGAGAGGCCCCACAGGGGTTCCAGACAGCAGGCCTGAGGGGGACCTGAGGCTCAGCTCCGGCCTCGGGCCACCCATGCCCCACCTGAGCCCACGCTTGCGCACCTGTGCACCGTCCACTGGCCGGGACACGACAATGTCCCAACACCAATGTGCCCACGGGCGTGTGCAGCTGGGACATGGGAGCGAGGGGAACAAGATGGCCAGTCCTGAGAGGAACGGCTGGGAATTCCTCCTGGGGTGTCCCCAGGGGCCACCCCACAAGAAGGTTGGGGGGCCCGTGCTCCGCCCCACAGCTGGGATCCAGCACCAACTCCCGCAGCACCCACGGGCTCCCACCCTCCATGAGGAGGGCCTTTGGGTGTGAATGGCGGGGAAGGATCCCGGAGCCCAGGTCCCCAACAGCCCGAGAGCTCCCCAGGTTCTACCTCCCCAGAAAACATGGCCCTGCGGCTTCTGAGCAGGATGGGAGCTGGGGACGGGCCAGGAAGGGCTCCCTGGGGTCCTGGGGGCGGGGGTCGATGACACCGCGGAGGAGTGAGGGTAGGTGGACGGGGGTGCTGAGGTCTGAGCATGGCCGAGGCCCCCAGGGGCTGCCACAGGGAGAGGGGGCCCAGAGCAGGGGCTGCACAGGGGCCTGGCTTTTGTCTGGGAGGCTCTGGGAGGACTGAAGGGAGATTAGATCGCGGCCAGCAGGGCAGCCGAGACTATGGAGCCGCCCTGGCCATCCTGGCCAAGGGTGGAGGCCCAGAAGGAGAGGGCTGTGGGGTCAGGCAGCGGACACCACCAGGAAGGGACAGAGACCCCGGCCTGGGGCAGTGACCCCTGCAGAAGCAGAGACCAGGACTCCCCTCCTGGAGTCCAGGGGAGTTGGGGGAGGCAGGGCCATGTCGGTGGCCAAGGCCTGGGGTGTCTGCCCTCCCCCCGCCGGACACCAATAATCTGAGACCTACTGGGACAGGGTCAAGGGAAACGGGCCTTGTGAGGCCCCAAGGGAGGGACCCCGAGAAGCTGTGGGGTCAATGTGCACTGAGCGAGGGGCTCTGCAGGGGGTCTCAGTTCTTGGTCTGTGAAACAGCTCAGAGAGGGGTCAGGCTTGGGCTGGACGCAGCCTCTTCTGCAGGTCTTGGGCCCTCTTGGGGGGCTACCTTCTTCCAACACACCGGGTCCCTGGGGAGCAGGAGGGAGCACCCCAGCTGTGGGGGGAGCGTTGGCTTGGGAGGCAGCTGCCTCTCCAGGTCTACCCCGGGCCTGACTCCAGCCCAGCCTGGCCGTACCTGATGGGCTGCGGCTGGACCCCCAGATCGGGTAGACCCCTGACACCTCCCGCTGCCTCTCCCCACGCCCTCTGTGGCCCGGCTCTGGATGGGCCAAGGGAGCCCAGCTGGTGGAGGGGACCCAGGGGTTGCTGCAAGCCTGGCTGGACCCTGGAGCCCCTCCATCCCCAGGCCTGGAGAGCCCTGGGAGCTCCCCCCGGGCCCCGAGGGCACCTTGGTGACCAGCTCCCATGATCTCTGCTCTATGCACAAGGAAACCAAGGCCCAGACAGGAGGCCTGCTGGGACTACAGCGGCGGGGCACAGGCTGTGGTATGACCGTCTCTCGGTGTCCCCCAGGCTCACCACTCAGTGGAGCGTGGAAGATGAGGAAGAGGCCGCCCGGGAGCGGCGCCGTCGGGAGAGGGACAGCAAGCTGCAGGCCCAGGACGAGGACGGGGGCAGCCGGGCCCCCCAGCTGCCTGAGCAGGAGACCCTGTAAGCTGCTTGCCCGGCCCGGCCCCGTACCCCCGGGGAAGAGGGGTGTGCTGGCAGTCAGGCCCTGGGCGAGGGGTGCCAGAGCAGGAGAGACCACGCAGGAGCTCAGCCCAGCAGCAGGGGCAGGAGTGGGGACAGTTCTCAGGGTGGGGGTCCCCGCAGCCCCCGGCGCCAGCAGAGCCTGCTGGCTGGCCGGCCGGATGGACTCACGTGCGGCCGCCCCTCCCAGACAGACTCCCAGAGCGCTGACTCAGGCTCTGGACGCCCCGCGCCGTCCTGGCCCCTGCTTGGACCGACACTGACCCCAGCTGCGCGGCCCTGGCCCCAGAGCCCCCCGCCCAAGCTCCCCGCTGCCGGTGACTCATGGAGGCCACGTCCAACTTGGCGGGCCGCAGGCCGGCTCGTTTCCTCCCTGGGCCCAGGAGGCCTCCGCGGCCGGGCTGGGCTGTTTTTACAATAATGCCCCCCTTCCTCCCGCCGCTGTTTTGTTCCATTTTCTCCGAGTCAGCAGCTCTGGGCAGGGTGGGGTGCCGCGGCGGTCATGGCCCCTCTGGCCGGGGCCTCAGTCTAGATGTCAGGGGCTGGGGGTGGGGGGGGGGGAGCCCACTAGCACCAGATCCCAGGCCTGCCTGGTGGGACGGGGTGCACGGGCTTCCTGGGGAAGGAGCATGTCACCAGAGCCCTGGGAGCACAGCTGAGGGGACAGAGGGAGACAACCCGACACATGGGGACCCTAGGGTGACAGATGGGGCACGCTCAGCAATTGGGGGTCCTAAACTGTTGGGGGAGCACAGCCCAGCTCTTGGGGAGCCTTAGACTGATGAGAGAGCCATAACTCATCTCTTGAGAGACCCTAGACTGAGGGGAGAGACATAGTCCAGCTCTCAGGGGACACTAAACTGATGGGGGAGTCATAGCCCATTTCTCAGAAGACCCTAGATTTGGGGGGGAAGCATAGCCCAGCTCTTGGGGAACCCTGGACTGATGGTAGAGACACGGTCCAGCTCTTAGAGAACCCTAGACTAATGGGGGAGGCATAGTCCATTCTCAGAAAACCCTAGGCTGATGGAGGAAGCATAGCCTATCTCTTAGGGAACCCTAGACTGATGGGGGAGCACAGCCCAGCTTAGGGTGCCTTAGACTGATGACAGAGGCATAGCTCAGCTCTTGGGGGACCCTAGACTGATGGGGGAGGCATGACCAGCTCTTGAGAGGCCCTGGACTGATGGGGGAGGCACAGCCCAGCTATCAAGAGACCCCAGACTGATGGGGGAGTCACAATCCAGCTCTTAAGGGACTCTAGACTGATGTAGGAGGCATAGCCCAGCTCTCAGGGAATTCTAGACTGATGGTAGAGGCATAGCCCAGCTCTTGGGGAGCCCTGGACAATGGGGGAAGCAGAACACAGCTCTCAGGGGACCCTAGACTGATGGAGGAGTCATATCCCAACTCTCAAGAGACGCTAGACCAATGGGGGAGGCATAGCTCAGTTCTCAGAAGGCCCTAAACTAATGGTAGAGGCACACCCCAGCTCTCAGAGGACATTAGACTGATGGGGAAGGCATAGCCCAGCTCTCAGGGGACGCTTGACTGATGAAGGAGGCATAGCTTAGTCTTCAGAGGCCCTAGATGGATGGGGGGATATGCCCCAGCCCTGGGGGAGCACTGAACTGACAGAGGAAGCATTGCCCACCTCTCAGGGGACCCTAGACTGATGGGAGAGGCATAGCTCAGTTCTCAGAAGGCCCTAGACCGGTGGTAGAGGCACAGCCCAGCTCTCAGGGAACCCTAGACTGATGGGGGAGGCACAGCCCAGGTCTCAAGAGAACCTAGACCGATGGAGGAGGCATAGCCCAGTCCTCAGAGGCCCTAGACAGATGGGAGAGGCACAGCCCAGCTCTCAGGGAACCCTAGACTGATGGAGGAAGCATAGCCCATCTCTCGGGGAACCCTGGACTGATGGGGGAGGCACAGTCCAACACTCAAGAGACTCTAGACTGATGGGGGAGGCATAGCTCAGTTCTCAGAAGGCCCTAGAATGATGGTAGAAGCACAGCGCTGCTCTGACAGGACCCTAGACTGATGGGGGAGGCACAGCCCAACTCTTGGGGAGCCCTAAACTGATGGAAGAAGCATAGCCCAGCTCTCAGGGCACCCTAGAGTGATGGAGGAGGCATAACCCAGTCCTCAGAGGCCCTAGACAGATGGGAGAGACACAGCCCAGGCTCAACAGACCCTAGACTGACGGGAGAAACATAGCCCAGCTTTCAGGGCACCCTAGACTGGTGGGGGAGGCACAGCCCAGCTCTTTGGGAACCTTAGACTCATGAAAGAGATAGAGCCTGTTCTTGGGGCACCCCAGTTTAATAGGTGAGACACAACCTTGGCCTCAGGCAGCTCCAAACTCTGAGGGAGACAGTCCTGCCCTCAGGGACTCTCTGACCATGAGGAGGCTCAGCCCAGCTGTGGGGTACTGCCTTGGCAGACAGGGCCTCCCACCCCTGGAGCCGGGGTCTGAGGAAGGGAGGAGGAATGTGGGTAGTATGTCTGTGGCCCCTGGCGGCCCGGCTCTGAGGGGGCGGGGGGGACACCCTGTGCCACTCTTTCAGCCTCAGCCTGAAGCCCGCAGAGGCTCCGGAACCGGATGAGGATGAGGGTTTCAGCGACTGGTCCCAGAAGCCTGAGCAGCAGCAGCAGCACTGGGGGGCTGGGGAGGCCCCTTGGGGCGAGAGTCCAGAGGGCCGGCAAGAGGAAGAGGACAGGCAAGTGGGGGTCAACGTCTGGAGGCAGGGTTGCCAGACAGGGGCTCTCTCTGAGCCCCCGACCTGCGCCTGAGAACCGGCCCGGCCCCGCAAAGCGGCCTGGAGTGGCAGCAGGGGGAAGGGAGGAAGAGAGCTAGACGGCGGGGCGGCGGGCCGAGGGGCTGCGGGGAGGGCTGGGGAGGAAATCTCATTCCTGGGCTCCCCAGGGCCCCTGGGCCCCGTCCAGACCAGCTGCAGCCCCGGCCGGGGTGTTGCCACATCAGCACACATCTGCGGCCCGCTGACGTAATGGAGGCCCTGCGCCCCTGCCGCCCGCCCGCCCCTTCCTCCCTCGGGGCTGGCTGATCTCCATTCCCACGGAGGGGAGCAGGTATTTCCAGATGTGCGGGCCTGTGAGCCGGCCTGGAGGGACAAGCTTTCCAGATGTGCAGACGTGTTTGCTGGTCTGAACGGGGCAGGCAGGGCCGGGGGCCGAGGCGCCCCCGGGGCCCAGGGATGAGATGGGGGGCTGCTCCCGGAGCCTCACCTCCACCTCAGTTCAGGGGTCTGAGTGCGCCCCACACCGTGCTGTGGACAGGGTGCAAGCTCTGCTCAGGGACTTCAGGCTTGGGGGGCAGGGTGCCCCTGGTACCTTGAGTGTCTCCAGACCCACGTCACTCCCCTCTCCGGGTCACCTCCCAGCCCTTCACGGCCCTCAGGAGGCTCAAGCTCTAGCTAAGACCCCTCCAGTGGTCCCACCACCCTTTCTTCACCCTATAAGCAAGTTCCCACACCCCAGGAGCCAGCTGCCTTGCTGGGGCCCTGGTCCTGGCCGGCCCCCTGCCTACCAGCGCCCCCTCTGGGCCTCAGTTTCCCCCATCTGTCTTTGGGAGTCAGTGCACACTCTGCATTTCTAGGATGGGTCTGGGGTCAGCAAGGCTGGCCTATACACGGGTATCTGGTGGCTCAGCCCCGCTGGCTCCCTCCTCTCTCCCGACAGCCACAGGCCTCGGCTGTTCCCAACAGCAGGGGGCACTTTGGCTCTTCGGTCGAACCCTCGTGCTCCCAAGCAGGCCTCCTCCCGCCCCACACCTGCCTAGTCCCCGCACCCGCAGCCGCTGAATGGGCCCTCTGTGTGCCTGCCACTGGCTGGGACCTAGCCACCTTGGGCGGTGGGTCTGGGTGGCACCGGCACCAAGGGGCGTGAAATCATGGAAAATTCGAGAATTTCCCATCTTACCCAGGTTCGGTCCTGCTCAAATGCAGAGCCACGCTGGCTGCCAGCAGGCATGGCCAATGCAGGCCGCCCCTCTCCTCAGGGGCACAATCCTTGCTGTAGCCTCTACACTCGCCTTGTCCTCCAGCTGAGCGGCCCCCAAACCACCCACAGACCCTGTCCCCCTCCTTGGCCTACTTGCCCCCCTCTCAGAGCAGGGCAGGAACAAGTGGGGGCCGAGGCCGGCCGGATGGACACACACAAGCACAACCTGGGCTGGGTCCTACCTGGAAAGCCTGGAGACTGGGTCTAGCCTCAGAGTGTGGGTGGCCCCCAGTCAGAGAAAGCAGGGATGGGGGCTGGCTCTGAGGTCCTCGGACCCCTTTCCCCAGTGAGGCTGGGGTCAGTATTCCTCGGCACTCAATGGGTCCGACTGCCCTCGTCTTTCAGATGAGAAACTGAGGTTTGGAAACAGGAAGGGCCTTGAGGCAAGCAACTGAATGACCTTCCGTGGGCCTTCCTCTTCCCCCCCAGGCCCCACCAGCACACCTGCGGGAGCCAGGATGGAGATGAGCAGAGCCCAGCCAGCGTTCGCCCAGAGGAGCTGTGTCTGAGCCCCAGCTCTGAGCTCCAGGTGGGGCCGGGAGCAGAGGAGACCCAGTCCAGGAGCCCGGAGGGGACCATCCAGGACAGCCTGCGGCCAGGAGACGCTGGAGAGACAGAAGAGCAGGTGGTGGTTCCACTGGGGGTGGGCACTCTCCGAGCCCCGGGCAGGGTCTCTGCTGACTGCGTGTTCTGCTAGCCTTGCTGGTCTGGCTTCAAGTGGGACCCGCCCCCACCCCCCAGACTCTAGCACCCACATTCTAGGAGGGTGGAGGGCCTTGCTGACCCTGGGATCAAGTGAGAACTGTGGAGAATTTGAGAACCAGAGCATGTCAGGGCTGGAACGGGCCTGAGGCCCAGGGAGGGGAAAATGTTTGCTCCAACAAGTCCTGGATGGGGCAGGAGGGGTGCAAATGGGGTGCGCTCATCATATAACCTCAGATGCTCTCTTTCTAGCACCACAAAAGCCAGCAGCCCAGGACACCCAGCCCCCTGGTCTTGGAGGGCTCTACCGAACAGGGCTCACCTCCCCTGAGCCCCAGCACCAAAGTAGGTCAAGGCCCAGAGCCTGCTGCCTCCTCTTTCCCAGAATCACGACCAAATGGCGCCCCAGAGAGGCAGCCACACGTCACCTCCAGGAACAGGGAGCACGTCCTGCCCTTTCTGTGCTATTCCCCCAAGCCCAGCACTCAGCCCAACCCTGAGAAATGAATCAGTGGAAGGCTGGACTGGTGGACGGGAGCCATGGGGGCAATGGGGGGGGGGGCTCTGGCTGAAGGCTCACGTCTCTGCTTGCTCTCTCCAGCTCATCGACAGAACCGAGTCCCTGAACCGCTCCATCAAGAAGAGGTGTGTCTGCTGTTTTCCAGACTAGGACTCGGGGTTCCCCAAGAGAGGGTTGGAGAGGGGTCTGGGGGCCAGAGATCCAGGGGCCTGAGGGGTGGGCGGCACAAGCCAGGTGAGCGAGCGTGGGGCGTGACCCTCCTCCCGCCCTCCAGTAACAGTGTGAAGAAGGCCCAGCCAGCCCTGCCCATCTCCAAGATCGACGAGCGGCTGGAGCAGTACGCTCAGGCCATCGAGGTATGCTTAGGCCTCGCCTTTTCTGCTGGGTCCCTCCTCCATCCACGCACCCACTGTGCCATCCAACCGAGACCCTCTGTCCAGGACCTCTCCGTCCAACCAGTCACGACCCCTTCGTCCTAACAATGCGCCTCCATTCAACCAACGCCACTCCAACCAGTCAGCGCCCGTCTGCCAGCCAGTGTTCCTCCGTCCAACCCACGCCCTCCCATGCGAACGACACCCCCCGTCCAGCCACCACTCACGCCAGCCTGCAGCCCTCCATCCAGCCAACACCCACTCCTCTAACCTATATTCTCTAAAAAAAAAGATTTTACTGATTTCCTTGGGGGAAAGAAAGTGAATGAGGGAGTGGATGAGTGGAGGGGAAGCAGAGGGGAAGCAGAGGGGAAGCAGAGGGAGAAGCAGAGGGAGAAGCAGAGGGAGAAGCAGAGGGAGAAGCAGACGGAGAAGCAGAGGGGAAGCAGAGGGGAAGCAGAGGCAGACCCCGCTGGGCAGGGAGCCCGACTCGGCTGCTCACCCCAGGACTCTGAGACCCTGACTTGGGCTGAAGGCACACACTTAACTGACTGAGCCACCCAGGCGCCCCTAACCTATGTTCTCATGTCCGACAAGGCCCCTCCCTCCAGCCACCACTCACTCCAGTCCACACCCCCTGCAACCCACAGCCCCCATCCGACCCTGGCTCCCCCGGCCCAGCGTCGCGAGCAGCACCCTCTCTGTCCCCACCCCCACCGTGTCCCGGCGCTTTTCGGATTAAGAGGCTGTTTCTCAAGGACACCGAATGGAGGACCGTGCATTTCTTGTCCCAGCACTCCGCTCTAGCCCTTTGTGGGGCAGGCGCTCCTGTGGAGATGCAAAGACATGGAGGACATCGTCTGTGCGCAGGACGGCCTCACACTGGCCTCACCGACGCGTCTCCCGGCTGCTCACTAAAGCAGGCTCCTTCTCCTCTGCAGAGTGCCGGCCGGGCCTCCAAGCTAACGCGCCAGCCCTCCATCGAGCTGCCCAGCATGGCTGTGGCTAGCACCAAGAGCCGGTGGGAGACGGGAGAGGTGCAGGCCCAGTCCACGGCCAAGGCCTCCTCCTGCAAGGTAGGACTCATCCCGGGGCGAGGCTCACCCCTCAGCAAGGCGAGTATGAGACTATCCAGGCTGAAGTGTGGGGAGACAGAGCACTGGGACATTTGGGGGGTGGCCATCACCGGGCTGGCCCCAGAGTGGAGGTCTTGCGGGACGACGGCTTGGCCCAGGGCGGGTGGACGGTGCCGTCTTCCCTCTCCTACCTCCTCCCCCGGGCTCTCACATAGGGAGGCAGGTGGGCAGGCCTAGGCCCCAGTCTGGTAAGGCCAGGCAGGAGAGAGAGTTCTCCGTAGTGTAGGCTCTGCACCTGTGACATGTCCTTCCTGTGCCCCCAGGATATTGTAGCTGGAGACATGAGCAAGAAAAGCCTCTGGGAGCAGAAAGGAGGCTCCAAGGCACCATCAACAATGAAGGTAGGGTGTAAACATGGTTGACAGAGGGACGGCAGGTCCGGCAGTCGAGAGCAAAGAGAGGCCGTCCTCGCTGCACCTGGAGGGCTCCCCAGAGGCAACATCGTGGCCCTTCTGCGGCTCTCACCTTTGCTCCCGGCCTCCTTCCCCAGCAGAGCACCCCATCTGGAAAGAGGTACAAGTTCGTGGCCACCGGACATGGGAAGTATGAGAAGGTGCTCGTGGACGAGGGCTCAGGGCCCTAGGCGGCCCTTCCTGGTAAGTCCAGGGCAGTGGCCCGAGCACGAAGCGTCGTATGTGGGAACGTGGTGGCATGGACAGGGCCCGTTTGTTACAAGCTGCCAGGGCAGCCTCAGAGCTCCCCGGAACCCGGGCGTGGCTTCATCTCCCCACCGTGCAGACTCCCCAAACCAAGCCGCATCTTACGGGAGCTGCTCTCCCACTGCCAGCTTCAGCTTTTTCCAGCTCCGCGCCGCGGGGGAGCTCGGACCTCCTTCCAGGAGGCCAGTGAGCTCATCCTGGCCACTGCAGGGCAGAGGAAATAGACGGGAATGTCCTGGGAGCTTGGGTCTGGGTCTTCAAGGGGCAAGAACCTTGGTCTCATTCCCCTGATGGGGGTCCACTCCAGTCTCCACCCCCCTGCCCATTCCTGGTGAAGAAACTCGGCCCAGTGCGACAGTGAGACACACTTTATTAGTGGCCCGGGTCTCAGGGTCCATGGACAGCTCCCATCACACCTCGGGTGACACAGCGGGCCGCCTACTGGATGCTGGTTCCCTTTCTGTGTCCTGCTCCCAGTCACCTCCATGGCCCTCTCCCATCACTGCTGACCCCATCAGGGCCCTGACCCTCGCCCTGGCTGCACACTGGGGCCCAAAAGCTGCTGGAGGCCTGGGGTCTCCACTGCGCCACCCACCCCGCTGGGGTGTTCTCCTGCCCCAGGACTGAGGGCACCCTCCTCACCTGGCCAGCGAAGCTGGTCCCTGACTGACGGTGAGACCGTCCCCCTACCTCCCAGCAGCGAGCCCTGCTCATGCTTTGGCCCCTCGGTGAGAGAATCTGAGGGGGGCACCAGAAGGGACAAGGCCTGGGGTCCGGCTCCCTGAAATGCGGAGCCTCTGCCTCAGCTCCTGGAGCCCACCGACGGCTGACTCCCCCGACCGGTCCCACTCTGCACAGCAAATGTCAATCTGTCCCCAGACTTCCACGGCGGGCGGGGAGCGGGGTGTGCCGCGGAGCTAGCCCCAGAATCCTCCCCGCCCTGACGAGCCTCAGAGATCTTGTCAGGCTCAGAGACCATCCCTGTCTGCCTGCAGCCCCTTGGGAACCCCGGACGCACTCCTGCCCCTCTTTGCCCCAGGGCCCAAGCCTAGGGCCAGCCATGCGGATCGACTCCCCCACCCCCCCCAAAGCGTGGTGCACTTTCCTTCTCACACGAGCCTTTCCCCCATCAGCCCCCACACTCTATCCCCACACAGACCCCTCCACCCTCACCCCACCTGCCCCCAACCTCATCGCCCTTCTGCTGCCCTCCTTCAGGCCACCACCCACCCGCCCTGCCCCCTCCTGGCTGCCAGCATCCATCTGGCCCCAGCGTCCTCTTCAGGGGCCGTGGCCTCCCCCTGGACCCCCTGTCCCTCTGCAGTCTGCACCATGGTCCTGGGCCCTGGGGCTGCCCGGGCCAATCACTGGAGCCTCCAGCCGGCCGCCGTCCGGTTGAAGTTCTTGGGCTTGGGGCTCAGGTCCAGGACGGGGCGGACGGTGGGAGGGGGCCGGGTGGCCGCCTCCTGCAGCTTCCGGGCGTTGAACCGCGGCCTGCACAGGAAGGGCAGGCGGCCCAGGCCAGCCAGGGCACCAGCCCTGTCCTCGGGCCCGGCCGGGCCGCGTTGGGTCTTGGCCACCGACACGCGATACAGCACCGCGTCCCACATCCTGGAGGCCCGGGAGGCCGGGGGCTGGGACACTGGGCCCACGGGGGCTGTCACCGCCTGCTGCCCGCGCTCCGGACTCTGCCGCGGCCCCAGCATTGGGGGTGCTTCCGCCTCTTCCACCAGCTGCTTCTTGAGGCGCATCCAGCCACTGAGCTGGGGCTTGGCAGCCACCCTGGGGACAGGGCACCGGTGCGGGCCTGACAGTGGGGCGGGGGGTGAGGCCCCACGGGGTCCGGAGCCCAGCTCGGCCTCAGCGGCAGGCCCTGATGCAGGGAGACCCTCCAAGGGCTCCACAGCAGGGCCCTCGGGGGCGGGCTCGTGAGGCGAGGGTCCCCGGGAGCAGGAGGTAGGGGCAACAGGCAGCACAACCCGAGTGCTGGCCTCTCTGGGCCCCGAGACCTCAGAGCCCGGGGGCGGCCTCGGTGCGGGGGGCGCCTCAGGCCAGGGGCTGGCTGCCTCAGTGGGAAGCGGGCGGATGTGGGCCATGGGAACCAGGGGCTGGGCCCCAGGAGGGCATGGGGTTATGTCTTGGTCCTGCCCCCCAGGCCCGCCATCTGGGGCCGTCTGCTGGGGCTCAGGGGTCCCGGCCTGTGGGGATGGCGCTAGCTGGATGTGCAAGTGGCTGACGTGGGTGACCCCTGCCGTGGGAGCCGAGACCTGTGTGAGGCCGCTGGGCAGCCGGGCGGGGGCCGGAGCCGGGCTCGCAAGCTGGGGCCCCGTGGCCTTGAAGTGTGCGGCCAGGCTCCTGCGCTGGGTGAAGCTGAAGGGGAGCGGGGATTTCTGCAGAGGTGACGCCACGTGGTGGATGACGGAGCTGCGGGAGGAGCGTGGCAGGGCAGCCACGGGGCGCGAGGCCTCTGTGGGAGGTGGGGCCTCCGTGGGGCACGGGGCCGTGGGCTCCTGGTCGTGGCTGGCCTCGCTCACGGGGGACAGGGAGGTTCGGAAAGGCCCCAGTGGCACGGGAGGCCCGGCCCCCGTCATCCTCTTCCGGGCGGCCTTCCTCAGAAGCTTCTGCAGACGCACATTGTCCTTCCCTGGCTTGGGCAGCAGGGGCGGCGGGGGTCCAGGGGGCCCCTGGGGGCACAGGCCAGCCACGATGAGCATCGTCGTACCCTGGGGAGCAGAGACGCAGCCATAAGGCTCGTCCTCCTCACGGCCAGCACCCCTCCCGCAGGGGGCACACGGCTCCCCCTTATGTGGGAGGCCCGGAGGCCCAGGGGTCCCCGCCTGACCGTCAGGAGCTCTGCTTTCCGACCACTTGGCACCCGCTGGGGGTGTCCCTAGCAGATTCGTCTGCGTCAGCAACTCTGTGGGGCGGCTGCCCCTCACGCCGACTTAGAAGGCCGTCCACAGAGGCCTGGGGCCCTCGGCGGGTGGCGGACGAGGATGCCCCCCGGTGCACAGCCTGGGCCGTGGGGCCCACGGGCGCGCTCCAAGGGGAGGCACGTGCTGGGCCGGCGGCCGGCCAGGGCAGGAAGAGCGCCTGCCCGCAGACGCGTGAGGGGCGCCGCGCCGTCGCCGGTCAGACCACAGGCTCGTCCACTGCGAGCCAGCGGCGAGGACGGCGGCCAGAGGCTGCATCATCAGAGGTAGATTGGCTGGGAGGTGGGAGCAATTTTCGCTGAGCTACGCTAAATGGGATATTCCCGCAGACATCCTGGCTGGGGTGGTCCTGGCCAAGCCGCCCGCCCTGGTTTCTGGGCGCCACGTGCTTGCAAGGACGTTGACAAATGGCGTCTGGGCCAAGCCAGAGGCCGGCCGGTTTGTGGGAGGAAGGAGGCCTGGAGCTGCCGCCCTGTGGGGGCTGGCTCTGTCAGGCGAGAGCGGATCTCACTCTTGGCTGCGCCTGCTTCTCGGGGCCCAGGACCCCAGGAACCGCGGGAATGCCAGGTTCCGCTCTGGGGCTGCGTGGCCAGCGGGCGAGCAGGCGATGGGCAGAACCCCCTCCACCCTGAGTCCCACAGAGGCTCGGGGTCCCGGGGCTCAGCGTCGGGGAAGCAAGCATCCCAGGTGGGAGCAGACACAGCGTTTTGGCAGCCGGAGCAAGGAGGCTGCCCCTGGGCGGAGGGGGGAGCGTAGGCAGGGCCCGGGTGGCCGTCGGAGCCAGGCTGGCGGCACGGAGGGCTGGGCAGGTCGCCCCTCCCTAGACCGCAGCCTCATGCTCCTGCACACCCCTGTGCTTCAGCTCTCCTGAGACTACTGGTACCTCTTGGGAGCAACCTCCATGCTCGGGGTGGGTGGGGGAGTCCAGCCCGAAGCCCACCCTGGCCCTGCCTCGAAGCCCACCCTGGCCCTGCCTCGAGAGCTGCTGCCATGGCCCGCTTGGCCTGCCCACACCCCTCCATCACCCACTACAATCGCCACCTCTCTGCTCCTCAACCCCCTGACCTCTGTCCCCTCCCGCTCTCTGACGCCCACTCTGCCTCTCGTGGCAGGGGCAGGAAAGGGACTGTCACTGGTGATTGACCCAAGGAGCCACCCCTCACAGAGGCCAAGGGTTCCCAAGGAAGGCCCAGGATGGGCCGAGAGAGAACACCTGCTGGGGGATCTCCAGGTCAAGAGACAGCACCTCCTGCACCACACGCTCAGGCCCCTGCCGGCCCCCAAGCCCTGCTTGCAGCCTCCTCCTAGTGAGATAAAGCCCTCGTGTGTTCCAAACGCTCATTCTGTGTTCACTAACTGGGGGAGGGACAAGGGAGCGGTGTCGGCCCAGGCGGGGAGCCCTCCCCACCCACCCTGGACAGTGGTAGCACCCAGGCCCCCGGCCTCCAGGTTCCGACACCCTGTCCTGTCCCATGGCCTTCTGCAGTGTTAGACTCTGGGATCTGAGGTGTATGGTGGCTTAAGTCCGGGGCTCATGATGGCTGAGATCCAGTCCTCCTCTCCCAGAGCACCTGTGATGCTTCCCCCTTGACTGGCCTGATTAAACTTTACTGCGCTTGAAACAGTGTGCATTTCTGGTCTTTGTCCCTAGACCGTGCCCCCCTCTCAAAAGAACACCCCCCCTCCCCACTTGGGGTTATTCCCTATCCTGGCACCTGGGTGTTGCTCAGTGAAGACGTAGTGGATGGACAGAGGTAGGTGGTGGACAATGGGAGGGTGGAGATTGGTGGGTGGATGGATGGGTGGAGGGATGATAGATAGAAGGGTGGACGGACAGATGTAGATGATGGATGATGAATGAAGGGGTGGAGAGATGGGTGGATGGACGGATGGGAGGTTGGATGGATGAGTGGATGGATGGAAGGATGGATGGAAGGATGATGGGTGGATGGATGGATGGAAGGATGATGGGTGGAAGGGTGGGTAAATGAGTGGATGGGTAGGCGGGTGAAGGGGTGAGGGCAGGGAGGGTAGATGAACTGATGCATAAATAGAAAGACGAAATGAATAAATAGTGGGTGGACAGCCAGCTGGGGGGCTGGGTGAGTGTGCTGGTAGTGAATGTGCTGGACGCTGGTTGGACGGACAGTGGAAGGGAGGAAGGCAGCTAGTGAACGTGAGAATGGATGCATGGAAATAAATGGTTGGGTGGGTCAGGAGTGGACCAGAGTGTGAAGGGGAAACAGGCTGGAGGCCGTGCTCCCCAGCCCTGGGCCCTGATGCCCTCATCATCTGGGGAACCCATTCGAAGGGCAGGATGGCTACACCTCTGGCATTCTAGGCCTGGCTCTGCTCGAATGTCCGTTCTTTGAGGTCTTCGGGTCGCAATCTGCCTGCCTCCCCGAGGATGGGGTAAATAGGTCCAACTCCAGACTGTTCAGACTCCACGAAACCATGGCCATCTCCTCCCACCACAGCCCACCTCAGAGACTGCTCTGCTGGGGGGGACTTTCCCCAGGGGACACGCCACTCTCTCCCTTCTCACCCAGCTGGATGGGACAAGGGCAGCAGCGGAGTTGACCACAAAAGGTCCAGGGCTGGACACAGAGCAGGGACCGGAGTAGATGGCACCATGGGATGGGAGGCAGGTGGGGGGATGGTGCCAGCCAGCCAGCCACGCAGCCCTGACCCATGCGGGCCCCGCTCAACCTGCTTAGCGCCCTGGGAATGAGGACCCAGGGCTTGACGCCTCTGAGTACCGCTGACCTCACCGCGGCCGTGATGGCAAGCCGCCACCTCCCAGAGACTTTGGGTCAGGGCCTACCCACTAAAGGGTCCTGAGGATCGGAATGGTCTCTGCCCAAGGGGTCCCTGGCCTGGGATGTCCTAACCGCCTGAGAGTCCCGTCTGCCCCACCACTCCTCTGCCCCCGAAACAAGAGTCAACCTGTCCTCTACAGATCCTGAAGGAGCACCAGGGTGTGTGGGGTGGCAGGTGCCCAGGGCTGGGGAAGGACTGTCCCCGAAGTGCTGTGTCAGCAGCTTCTATCTGGGGCCTGGCAGAGCCCAAGTTGGTGATGCTGGCACCAGCAAGGGCGCCCAGAACCCATTCAAGGTCCCTTGGGCCCCGTCACCCTCATCCATGCAAACTGGGGCCAGGACCCAGACTGTGAGGGGCCCTGATCTCCCCCCACCCACCCTGGGGTCACCTCTGAAGACAGCTGGAGCCAAGATATTTGGGGCACCGCCTCTCCTCGCAGCTTCCTCCCTGCTCTGTGGCCTCAACAGCTTTGCTGGCTTTAGAAGCCCACACCCCACCATCCCTGGGCCAAGCTGTCCCTGAGGTCCCCCTAGCCAACCCCTTTCTGGGGTGGAGATCAGTCCTCCGCCCCAACCAGGGCTGGGACACCCCTATCCCTTGCTTCCACCCCGGGCCTCCAGACCCCCTGCAGGCCCAGAGCAGGCTCCGGCCCGGCCCTCTCCTCCCACCCAAACTGGGCGAGGTCCGTGGACTGGGGTGTGGATTACCTGTCGAAGGCTCTCAGAGGCCTGCGGCCTGTCCAGCAGTGCCGGCTCAATACTGTTCCGCTGCACCACGGGCCTGGTGCCCCGAGGAGGAGGTCACGGATGCCCAAAATAAAACCTGTGCGATTCCTCTGACCTCAGCGCCCGCTTCCTGGCTCGCCCATTCACGGGAGAGCACCTGCCAGGGGCCAAGGCCACTGAGCGGGCAGCCACTCTCCTCTGCTGGCCGAGCAGGGCCACTGCAGGGTCCGGGCAGGGCCACCGCAGGTGCAGCTGCTAAGAACCAGCAGCTCCCAGGAGCCGGGCACCCGTGGGCTGAGCGGGGCTGGGTGTGCGCAGGGCCTCCCGGGCCAGACTCCAGCACGGCCTACAGACAAGGCCAAATGCTCCAGAATGTGCTGTCCTCACGTGTGTGCCCACATCTGTCTGTGCATGTAGGTTCGGGGGCTGTGCTCAGGTCTCCGAGCAGAGCGACAAGAGCCAGTGAAAGCCCCACCATGGGGACGAGGCAGTCACGGCGAGCCCGCAGGAGCTACGGCGGGGGCTTCCCTGGAAGGGACTCTGCGGGTGGCCCCACTGGGCAGAGTTGGCCAAGGGTCACGGGCGTGTGGCCCTCCAAGACCTTGCTCGTCCATGGACCCAGACAGGTGGAGGGAACAGCACTCAGAGAAGGAGGGCAGGGCCGTCCCCAGCAGCTCGGGCCTCGGGGGGCAGGCAGGAGAGGGTCTCTGTGTCCCCTCGCTGTATGGCTGTAAGTATGCCTATCCTGTCTTGGGTCCCTGTGGCCTTATCCCCAGTTTGGGGGGACTGAATGAGGTGCTAGTGGGACCCTTCCAGAAGGCTCCGAGCACCATGGGCAGTGTGGAGCTGGGGCTGGGGCATGAGTCTCCTGCCCGCCACGCTGTTGTCCCTGATTCGAAGCCTCCAGAGGGCAGGGGCCTCGGTTGCGTCTCCCCAGGGCTCACCCTGTCCCACGTGCTGGCTCACCAGCTATTGCCCTGGACCAAGCTGTCCCGCGGACCCCACTGTCCGTGCTTGGCAGCCCCTTGCCCAGAGCCCTCAGGTCTAGAAGGAGCTGCCCGACGGCTGTGGCCCTTCTGCATCTCTTGGTTTCCCTAGCCAAGGGACAAGCAAGGGGACCATCAGAGGCCCAGGCAAGATGTCTGCCAGCCAGACGGTGCCACCTAGAGTCCCGAGGACAGAAGGTGCCACGTGGAGTCCCACGGACAGAAAGGCCAGGACCCCCAGCCCAGGGCGGAACGTGCGGTGAGCGGCTCGTGGAGCTTGGCTGTGGGGCCAGAGGCCCCCATGGTCTGGACCCCCAGATGGGGAGCTCCCAGGCTGAGGGCAGAGGTGTGGCCCTGGCCTTGGGGAGGGCCAGCCCCTGGGGTGACGAGGACCCTCAGTGCTCGAGCGCCGGCCTGGGCTGTAACTTCTCGAGCCCGTCTGTCCCGCACGCCCCAGGTCTGGGCACTAAGCGGGGCTCAGACATGACAGACACCTGGCTGAGGACTCGCAGAGCCCTCCACTCCACGGGAGACCCAGGCCCTCGGGCCACGTGCTCTGACGGAGGAGGCAGGTGGGGCTGCGGCGAGGGACCCATGCCCCAGACGCTTCAGAGGGCGGGCGGCTGGGCTGGGGGCGTCGGGGCCCCAGGCTAGGGCTGGTTGAGAGCCCTGGGCCACCCAGTCCATCCTGTCAGCCCTCCTCAGCCCGTCAGGAATGTGCCCGCTGTCAGGGGGGTGGGGGGGTTAAAAATAGAAGCTGACACTTCCTTGTCTCCTTCTCCACATGCGTCCCCCCATCCTTGCCTCCTTGGGCCTCCTCCTCTGCTGTTCCTATACTTGGTAAGGGGCCTGCATGGGCACAGCCCCTTCCCGCCTGCCCCACGCGCCCGGCCACCCAGTCCCCGGCCAATGGGCTTCTGGGCAAGATCAAATGTCACTATAACATGAGGCCGTGAGCCGGGCGGGCAGTGTCTGAGCCGTCCTGTCCACAGGGAGCTCCAGCCCTTCTCTCCAGACTCAGCCACAGGTTGGTATGGCACAGGGCTGGGCAGGGCCGGCCTGCCATTCGAGGCGTGTCCGGGGTTCTGGGGTGCTGAGGGTCCAGGACGCCGTGATTCCACATCTCAGCTCTGAGCACGGCAGCTCGGAGAACCCGCAAAGCCACCCAGGGTCCCGAGGGTACTGGCACGGAGGGTGGTGCTCTGGGATGCGAAGACGGGCGAGCTGTCCCAAACCGTAGCCTGGCAGCCGGGGAGGTCCGCGGAGGCGGAGGGGGTCTCCCTGGAGGGAAAGGGACGGAGAAGTGGGGAGAGGAGCAGGGGTCGAGGCAAAGAGCCCCGGAAGGCCACTGCCCACAGTTCCGAAGGCTGCCCAGTGCCGGGTCCTGGCTCACCCCCGGGGTCATCCGGGCCTCTCCACGGGGCTCCAGTAAGTACAGGGGCCCAGGCCAGCTTCTCTCAGACACTGGGGGCTCTTGGCCTCAAGCAGTCATTGCCTCCAATGCTGCCATGTGTAGAGACGAACGCGAGGGGTCTGGTGGAATTCACCCCAGGAGCGGTTCCATGGAGAGGTGGCTGGTGGGGGCTTCAGGGACAGCTCCTGGAGGCCAAGGACAGGAGCAAACAGGGCCAGGCCAGGGTGGACTGGGGACCTGGGATCTGTCCCACTGCCCTGGACGCGTCCCACCGCTGCCCATGGAGGAGCAGCAAGTGCAACCAGAGGCCCCGCCCAGGCTTCTTGCCCTCCCCGCCCTCCCCGCTCCCCACGGCCTCGCCCACGCTGCCCTCCCAGCACCCTTACCGGCCAGCTCCTTCTGCACACCCTCAGCCGTCGTTGAGGGGGAGACCCGGAAAATGAGCCCCTGAAGGATAGGGTGGGGGCCGAGGCTGTGCGGGGTGACATAGCGGGGCGGGGACTCCCTCCTCCCCACCCGATCTGGTCACCGGGAAGGAGGTGTGTGTCTCCAAGGAGCTCTGAACTCAGTGGCTGTATTCCCTCTACCCCACCCCCCAACGCCAAGGGCAGAGCATGAAATGGACATCTGACTTCCTGCCCAACGGTTGAAACGCTGTCCCCTGCCCTCCAGCACGCCCCACCCCAGCCTCTCCCAACAGATGGCGAGCTGGGGGGACAGAGCCACTCTGTGGTGTGGCCTCCGGGGCTCCCCTGGACAGAGCGGCAGGATCCCGGAGAAGCCGCAGCCTCTGTCGGGGTCAGTGGGGCTTTGCCGCCCTGACTCACAAAGGGCTTCCAGGCACCCCACCCGGGGATACGGGGGTCTTTCTGCCGCCCCCCTGGGCTCCAGTCCAGAAAGCAAGAGAGCAAGGTGCAGGAGCTCAGGCAGGCCTGGGACACCGGCGGGGGCCAGGGGGAGCGGGCCAGGTAGAGACCTGAGCCAGCGGCTTCCCTCAGCCCCCCTCCCTGCGTCTTGGGTTTCTGGTCAGAGGCGTCTTGGCTAATTTGGGTGCCTATTTCTGGTCACCTCAGCTGCCACAGGCTTCTTAAAAATAACCCACCCCGTGCTCGGGCCACCCCGCCCCCCTTGAGGCTGCTGACAGGTGTAGGGCCCAGCCAGGGTCAGGGGGGCCAGCAGGACAAGGCCCTGGGCTGTCACGGACCCTCCCACCCCTGAGAGTGGGCCCGGGGGGATGGCAGAGGGGTGAGGGCGGGGCCCACCAGGAGGCTGAGACCCCCAGCTGTACGCAGGCGGGAGGCTGTAACTTGAGGGGGCAGCAGAGTCCTGTTTCGGGAAAGAGCTGCGTCTCGGGCTGGGGTGCAGGGAGCAGAGATCTGGGGGTTGACGTCTCACGGAGCTTCAACGGCTCTGGAAAAATTAACATTCTGGACGGAGGCTTCACACAGCCGTTCCCACCTTAGCGGTGTGACGGACACGCATGTTTAAATGATGAGCTTGTGATTTCCTTGTACGGAGCTCCGGGGGGCTGGGGGCCCAACGGTCGCGTTCCACTGGAGCTGCACTAGGCCAGCGTGAACTCTGTGTTTTGAGCCCCGGGCCAGCTGCTTTGAGCGCTCCCAGGCCCCGGGCCGCCCCAGCCGGGTGCGCAGGCCAGCTCACGGAACCGGGGTCCCTGAGCGCCCCAGCTACACCTGCGCACGTGCGGCCGGGCCCAGGCGTGGAGCTTCCCTGCAGACGTTGACAAATTCAAGAGCATCCACGGGGCCTGGGAAAGCAGGCGGGGGGAGGGGGCGGCCAGATGGGGCTGTCCGCGCAGTCCTTCGCTCAGGGCCCCTGGGCTGGGGAATGCACAGAGAAACAGCCCAGAGCCCAGCCCCGTGAGCTTGGGGCCCAGTCTGCTCCGGGCGGGGCTGAGTGGGGGGACAAGGAGAACAGATTGTGCACCTTGTGGTTTGGGGAGGGAGGACAGCACAGGGGCCATGGGGGACTCCCAGGGCACCCATGTAGGAGAACGTGGGGTCCCTGCAGGAAACCGTCAATTGGGGAAGGGAGCTCTGGGTTCACACCAGGATGGCTGTCAGGGCACTGGTGAGGCCCAAAGACCCAGGAAGGTCCAGCATGTCCACAGGGAGAGGGGGATCCCAGCAAACCCCTCAACCACCTCGGCGAAAGGCAGAGGCTGTCAAGAAACGGGCTCCGAGCCCCACCAGCACAACTTCCCTACTGTCCGAAACAGCCTGGACCGGCACCGGGCATCCTGGATGACCCCCCTCGGGGAACGCTGTAGAGAGGATGTCTACCCTGGGTGGGGGTGGACGCCATGACCTTCCAACATCCCGTCCAGCCCTGGGATTCCAAGCTCCAGGCTGGAGCCAGGGCCGGAAGGGGGTGGGGTGGGATCAGAGTTCTTCGAGGAGTGCCGGGGGCGGGGGCGGGGGTGGGCGCTGCGGAGGAGGCCTGCCAAGGCCAGAGTGCTGGCCTCCACCCTGTCCCTGGATGTCCCTCACATCCCCAGCCCTAGGAGCTCACCCCTTCCAGCACTTCCAGACCAAGGCCATTCTGACTCTGGTCCCGTTCCTTCCCCTGCAGAAACCACCCCGCCACCATGTCTGACGAGGAAGTGTGAGTACCAGCCCTAGTCACC